GGCTGGCGGGGGCGGGTTGGTGGGGGGCGGGGGCGGGCTGGCCGGCGGGGGCGGGGGCGGGTTGAAGGTCCGCTGCCCCGATGCGGTGCGGGAACTAGGCGACGAGCGAGCGGTCGGGTGCGTCAGCTCGTTGTTGGGGTCTCGGGCTGGACTGCGGGGTGGCATTTTGACCGTAAATACGTGATACAATATGTGTACGGCTATACTTCGAAACGTTTACTTTTGTGGGACTAGGCAGAATTCTGAGATTGTGGAAGAAACCAGGTATTTTGGGATTTTGGGATTGCACTAGGATTCTGGAGAATCCGGTTTAGATTTTGGAAATTCAATCGAGTTCTTTTCGCCCGGGATTTTCGGGACCGAGATTCTCCATATTCTGCTCAAAAGAACTGGGCCATGTTGCAAATTACCCACTTGTTGAGCACTAAAACCATGCTGATGTTGTGGCACCACGCCTTGTGTCACCACACTCTGTTGCAAATTCTACGGGTGTGCTTAATCTATAAGCAGTGAATGTTCTACTTCTTGCCTAGTACACAGTGAGGGGGTGGGGTGTTATAGCAAAATTTAATTTGAAATATGCATTGTAGCAAAAAACTTCATCTCATTTGGCTATGAGAAATAATCGATCTCATTTCATAGATGCAATTTTGAAAGTATGGAAAAATGCTTTATAGATTACCATAGCTTGTTTTCACCCTACGATGTCGATGTAACTAGAGACTTGAATCTGGAGTATTATGAGTTTCATGATGAATGAAATTTGACGGCATGGCCCTACATTAAAATTTTTAAATTAATTCTACATAAATATACTAAGTGGTTTTTTTGTGTGCCTGGTGTCACTCGAACTCGATAGGTTATGTCAAGTAAGATGGCTTGGTGGAATCATCCTCAGTGCGAGGAAATTATTCTACCCTAAACAGAAACACCAAGTAACACAAAAATCAAGGAAATTTTGTTTTTGCTAATCACTTTGACTCAATGAGGGTCAATGATACAATAGAGGGAAGGGATTCGGTAAATCTAACATAGAAGGGATTCGACCACTCCCCTATGCCAGGGCTACCTGGTCATCGCACCACTGGAAGAAGCAGCAATCGCCCAAGGATACCTTGGGTTATCAGAGGGGATTGCACTGCGAGAAACCCCGCCGCCGCCATCCGCTGCATGGACTTAGATTTACAGTGTCCACTAGTGACGGCGAGGGGAGGTGGGGCAGTGGATGAGGGCCGACGGTGCGAGCTAGGGTTTCCGCCGTTGTTGCCCAAGAGGTGACGTGAGGGACAAGTGGGTAAAGGCCAACAATAGTGGCACAACTGAAAGTAAGGAATGACGAAAAATGAACAACAAAGATGAAGTTGGCACCAGTCTAACTAACTTCTAATCAACCTTCCCTGAAAATGAGAGACTTCTAATCAACGTATTTGCTCAGATCCATCAGATAACATACTGACAGCGATTGCCGTATTTGCTCAGATCCATCAGATAACATACTGACAGCGATTGCAGCCGGCCATACACAACGTACAGCTCTTGTTATGAACCTGGACTTTTCTAACTATCAATCGTACTTTCAGAACCGAAGAAGTTGTCGCTGAACCCGACATCCGGCGTTCATAAAAGGACAAGATCGTTTCATTTTCTCACAGCTAATATGAGGTGAACGGTGGCATCAAATTAATTCTCCCAAGTAGTACACAAACAGAAAGCAACAAATCCTTAACAGTCAGCATACTGTGTAAACAAGAGTAAGGAAAAGCACCAGAGAATTTCATCTCAAATCCAAAGTTAAATTGCACGCTGGCTGGGAGCTATAATACACTTCACTCATATTACTCCTCACACATACTACAGGTACTACTATTCACCATGTACATAGTATATATCATAAGGTAAAAATATGGCAAGGGATCCCTAATGGTACAGCAATATCTACAGAGCAGAATTTGTTTTGCTGAGAGACCTACACGCCGGCCTTCTCTGAACCAATCCGCCACATGCTGATCGAATCCTTTACGCGATCCATGCGCAAATTGTGGTGGTAACTCTGCTCTCAGAATGAGAATCGGCGGCAGAGGATCGGGTCGCAAAATGTTGAAAAACACACACACATTGTTCGCAGAAGGAGAGGATGGATGGACGGATGGATCGTCGCTCATTTCTTCCAGCTCCGGCAGCGTAGGACCGAGTCGTCGCCGCCGACGATCCATGTCTCCTTGGCGATGTCCATGGACACCTGGAAGAAGTCGGGCGGGTACCTCATCACCACCAGGTTCTCCTTCTCCGGCTCTTCCTCCCTTGCCTTGTTGCTCTCGCTCTCGGCCTCCTCCTCGTCCTCCCCTGCGTCGGCTACTCCTAGCCTCCTCGCCAGCCCCTTCGCCGGCGCCGACCGGCACCGCATCAGCATCAGCGCGTTCGCCGGCGGCGCCGCGTCTTCTTTCTCCTGCTCCTCGTGCGGTAGCTCGTGCTCCTGGTTCTTGCGGGGAGCCCTCTTCCCTTCCTCGAGCACCATGAACCACTTGGCCAATGCGTCGCCGTGGCGCCGATCCGTCTCCTTCCCCGCGCGCCCCGCCTGCTCCTCCTCCTCCTCCTCCTCCTCGTCCTCCTCCCCGGAGGTGTACTCGACGACGGCGCCGGGGAACCTGCCGAAGCAGCCGGAGACGTTGAGCCGGAAGGCGCCGTGCAGGGCGCTGAGGAAGGGCAGGGCGTCCTTCTTGATCCCGAGCGCCTGCATCCACGTGGCCTTCTTCTTCCCGCCAGCACCGGCGGCCTTGGGCTTGGCCGACCGGGAGACCTTGATCTGCCCCGCGCACGTCACCTTGGGCGACGACGGCTCGTTGTCCTCGCCGACGTCCACGGCGTGGTGGCGCCGGCTCGGGTTCCTGTTGGCGGCCACCCTGAGGTGCGAGCCGGACGACGACGGCCGGGCGCCGCTGGTGCTGTGCCGGCGCTCGGAGCTGGCGGACGGCCGCGACGGGCTGCAGGCCGTCTTGGGCGGCATGAGCGCCAGGTGCGCCCGCGGCGGGAAGCAGACGAGGAAGTCGGTGGCCGTGCCGCTGCTCCCCCTCCTCCTCCCCCTCATGGCGCCTGCGCTAGCTGCGTGTGAAGCTTCTTCTCCCTCGTCCTCTCCCTGCTCTGCTCCTAGGCTCCTAGCTAGCGTCCGCTTCTTGTTGTGAGGCTTGAGGCTGTGATGAGTGACCGAGCTGTCCGTTTAGGTGGCAGTTTTAAAAGCCCGGCCGGACGACGTCCAGCTTTCGGTTGGTGCCGGAGTTAAAAGAAGAGTGCTTAAGCCCAAATAAACAAGACAAGCCAACATGTAATGTAACAGGAAAAGCTTGAGCCAAAAATGATAGCTAGCTGCAATGGCGTGTCGTGCTGCTTGGCCGTATGCCTGCGGTAAGATTAGCGTCCGGCCTCCGGCGATTGCTTTTGTGAAGTGGTCTGGGCTAAAATATTGGGATCTAATCGGGGGCCTAATTGAGGTAGTTGATCACGGGTATCTTCAAGGAAGTGGACCTTGGAGCTGTTCTACGGATACATAATCTAATCTATCTACTGGGTATCTTCAAGGAAGTGTTCGTAAAGCTACACTCCACCACCTTCCGATCTTGATCCCATCAAAAAGAATGCGCGCGTAATCTACTGTTGCATGGCGGAGGATCTATTTATGTGTTGTGTGTAAGAGCATCTCCAACAGCCGCCTAATGCGTGGCGCCCAAAAAACGGGTTTACAACGTGCAAGTAGTTTTTTTAGAGCGCTAGAAGACATTTGCTCCAACAAGCGCTGTAAAATATGGTGCACGCGAGTCCAGCGGTCCCAATCAAGCGGTCCCATCTGCATCAGCCCAGAGTTTACAGCGCGCGCGACCGGGCGCACTAAATATGCTGCGCGCGCTGCATTAGTTATAGCGCGCGCGTTTTTTGTGCGGCCGCTGGAGACTGAAAATCAGGTCCGCGCGCGCTAAAAACAGTTTTTATACCGCGCGTCGCTTATATAGCGCGTCTGTTGGAGATGCTCTAAGTGCAGCATCATCAGAGGAGCCCAGCTTTGTACTCCCTCTGTCCCATAATATAAAAGCGTTTTTTACACTATTATGGAACGGAGGGAGTATTATACAATTCTTCTTCTTTTCAATGTGCTACGTCGGCTCGATCTGTATTATACTGCTGTGGGCGCAGGTTTGTGAGAAGTGTGCAACAACGGCTTAACCTACCTGTTGCAGAAAACTGCAAACAGATGTGCAGATACAATGATAGGCTGGCGTTCAAATTGGGTGGTAATGTCACCCTACTAGCATGATCTTGCCTAGATTTGTAGATGAAATGCACCGGGAGCCACTGAACATGTGGGGACAGTGCAATTCAGTCCTCCAACTTTCAATGTGTGCACTCGAGGCAGTGAGTGAAATGCATTGAAAGCCATTGAACTTACACCATGTCTACTGGATGCACTGCAAAAGAAGGGTTATGGACCGTCGATCGACCACTTTGTAAAGTTTGAGGATGTATGGTTGGGCCTCCTTTGCGACCACGTCACACCATGATGGTGCCTACATGCGTCACCTGATCGACCATCGGCCTCTCATTCTCATGTCCAATGAGTATCCCTGGCCTTGGGATACCCGGTCCGACCGACCCGACCTGACCCAGCCCAGAAAAGCCCGACCCGACCCGGCCCTGTCTTACCCATGGGCCGGGCCTAGGCCTGCCATATTTGTGATTTTTTTGCAGAGGCCCGGTGGGTTTTTTCGTTGATAGGCCGGGCTTGGGCCTGGATTCTAGGCCCGATGGCCGGGTCGGGCTAGGTTTTTTGCGTCGGGCTTTGTTAGGCCTAGCCCGGCCTGACAAATAGCCAGGTATACCAATGAGCCACCACAACGCTAGATGGTATCTACCTCCACTACCTCTTCTCCGACGACCCGCAATGAGGAGGCAAGGCACTAAATGGTGCACTAGGGCGCTAACATGGGTGCATCGCTCCAGGAAAGGTGGGCTGAGCCGGAGAACAGAGCCATATCGTCACACCGAGGTCGGCAAAGGCACAATCATCATCTAGGTGGCCTAGAAAATGGCGCCACATTTGATATGTAGATCGGGTAAGCGGGTAGGGACGTTCTGTGAGGGAATAGAGGCAGTTTGTCGGTTAGCATAGGCATGATGAGGTCAATGTTTCATTGTGCTAAGTGTCACTTACAACTAGGCCTTGTGGGGCCAAATATTTCTGGTTTTACGAGCAAAGGGACTAGGTTTTGCCGATTTCCAAGCAAGGGAGCCACCCCTCCCGCTTCACTGTCCTCCCCTCTCACAAATTGAACCTCGCACAACAACCAAAAATAGCCACCACCACTCAAACCCTAAACCACCACCTCTTACCTCCCTGACCTTCCTTTCCCCGGCCGCTTTTAGAGACCAGTGGCCGGGCTAAGCCCCGTCACTGGTCGATTTAGGTGTAAACGGGGAGGTCATCGCTCTGGTAGCCTTTGGTGGCGAGATGTCATTTATGAGCGGCGGCTAGAGGCAAAGGGCATGGTTGCGTAATGGTGACAATTGTGTTTTTGGCATGGTCGACAATCTCTGGTGGCGAGGTGGCGGTGCCGACGATCTTGATCCGTCTGCAGGCACGCAAGGGGCAACAGTGTCCATCTACGCCCTATCGTGGCGGTCCTCTGCTCGGGGGCATGGGTGCCGCCATGGTCCCTCGTTGTTAGGCGATTGATGCGGCATCGGCTAGACGGTAGTCACAACAAGCCGAAGTGTCTTGGACCTTCTGATCGAGCAACAACAATGGGTAGTTTGGTCGGACTATTTTGCTGCCACATGTGACAACAAAAGAGCAAGAGGATGGTGTGCGACCACAGGAGCACCCCCAATTGGGATTTTGGTGGTGTGGGTGACTTTCCTCCCCCGTTAATCTTTGTCCCGTGTGCGATGATGACCTTTTCCATTCTGGGCTTTTTGGTGGCGACCGACTCTTTGTTGTTGCTTAGCTGCCTGTTTGTGTGGGTATTTCTTCACTTGTGCGACATCTTATGCCAAGATCGTGCCACGCATGTAATTAATGGGATCGCATAAAGTGGTGATGACAACATGATAATTTCGATTTGGTGGTGTTCTTCACGAGTACCCAGTCTCAAATTGTGTGTTGAAATCTCTAGGTCTAAGCATAGTACGTTATGTTGGGTTTCGTAGTAATTTTAAAAAATTTCCTACGCGCACACAGGATCATGTGATGCATAGCAACGAGAGGAGAGTGTTGTCTACGTACCCAACGCAGACCGACTACGGAAGCGATGACACGACGTAGAGGAAGTAGTCGTACGTCTTCACGATCCAATCGATCAAGCACCGAAACTACGGCACCTCCGAGTTCGAGCACACGTTCAGCTCGATGACGATCCCCGGACTCCGATCCAGCAAAGTGTCGGGGAAGAGTTTTGTCAGCACGACGGCGTGGTGACGATCTTGATGAACTACAGCAGCAGGGCTTCGCCTAAACTCCGCTACAGTATTATCGAGGAATATGGTGGCAGGGGGCACCGCACACGGCTAAGGAATCGATCACGTGGATCAACTTGTGTCAACTTGTGTGTTTAGAGGTGCCCCTGCCTCCGTATATAAAGGATGGAGGAGGAGGAGGCCGGCCAAGGCAAAGGTGCGGCCAGGATAGGGAGTCCTACTAGGACTCCAAGTCCTAGTAGGAGTCCACCAAGAGGGGAGGAAGGGAGAAGGAATAGGAGGAGAAGGAGAGGTGGCCGGCCCCCTTTTCCCTAGTCCAATTCGGACTAGAGGGGAGGGGGGGGCGCAGCCTTTTTCTCCTCTTCCCACTAAAGCCCATCAAGGCCCAATACTCTTCCCCGTATTCCCGTAACCCCCCGGTACTCCGAAAAATACCCGAATCACTCGGAACCTTTCCGAACTCCGAATATAGTCGTCCAATATATCGATCTTTACGTCTCGACCATTTCGAGACTCCTCGTCATGTCCCCGATCTCATCCGGGACTCCGAACTCCTTCGGTACATCAAAACTCATAAACTCATAATATAACTGTCATCGAAACCTTAAGCGTGCGGACCCTACGGGTTCGAGAACAATGTAGACATGACCAAGACACGTTTCCGGTCAATAACCAATAGCGGGACCTGGATGCCCATATTGGCTCCTACATATTCTACGAAGATCTTTATCGGTCAGACCGCATAACGACATACGTTGTTCCCTTTGTCATTGGTATGTTACTTGCCCGAGATTTGATCGTCGGTATCCAATACCTAGTTCAATCTCGTTACCGGCAAGTCTCTTTACTCGTTCCGTAATACATCATCTCACAACTAACATATTAGTTGCAGTGCTTGCAAGGCTTATGTGATGTGCATTACCGAGAGGGCCCAGAGATACCTCTCCGACAATCGGAGTGACAAATCCTAATCTCGAAATACGCCAACCCAACATCGACCATTGGAGACACCTGTAGTACTCCTTTATAATCACCCATTTACGTTGTGACGTTTGGTAGTACCCAAAGTGTTCCTCCGGTAAACGGGAGTTGCATAATCTCATAGTCATAGGAACATGTATAAGTCATGAAGAAAGCAATAGCAACATACTAAACGATCAGGTGCTAAGCTAATGGAATGGGTCATGTCAATCAGATCATTCAACTAATGATGTGACCTCGTTAATCAAATAACAACTCATTGTTCATGGTCAGGAAACATAACCATCTTTGATTAACGAGCTAGTCAAGTAGAGGCATACTAGTGACACTCTGTTTGTCTATGTATTCACACATGTATTATGTTTCCGGTTAATACAATTCTAGCATGAATAATAAACATTTATCATGATATAAGGAAATAAATAATTGCCTCTAGGGCATATTTCCTTCAGTCTCCCACTTGCACTAGAGTCAATAATCTAGTTCACATCGCCATGTGATTTAACAGCAATAGTTCACATCAACATGTGATTAACACCCAAAGGGTTTACTAGATTCAGTAATCTAGTTCACATCGCTATGTGATTAACACCCAAGGAGTACTAAGGTGTGATCATGTTTTGCTTGTGAGAGAATCTTAGTCAA